TCTGTTCCGGGAACTTTGCACACAATCTTAGTTGTTGTGCAATGATCCTTGGGGATTCAGAGGTAGCCCTGGGCTCCCTATGTGGATTTTGGGAAAGTTCTGTGCCCTAGCCATGATTGATCATATCTATGGCTAAACAGGTTAAACAGGAGGTCAGACTAGATGATCACAGTGGTCCCTTCTGGCCTTGGAATCTCTGGAGGAATTGGGCCTGCTTCCAGTCTGAAAACTGACAGAAGTCCCTTGCCTTCAGTGGAGTTCGTCCTGATTCACAGTGGTGTAGATGTGGTCAGAATTACTGTCATTGTGCCTCCCTCTTGGAGGTTGTGGTGGGGTTTGATGAACAGTGGCAACTCCCTCCCTCCCTTCTCATCTCATCACACAAAATGCAGCCCTTAATGTTTTGTTTTTCCTCAGTGATATCCAAATGCAGCCAGTTGTCACATCTGTTCAGATTTGTCTTTTTTTGTTTTTTTTTGTTTTTTGTTTTGGTAGGCTCCTATTGCTGACTTAGGCTTTTTGTGACCAGTTCATACAGACCTGTGTAAATTGATTTCAGTTACACATCCACAGCATGTATGTCTTTTAACCATTCAGACAGTGGATCCCGGTCCTGGACCCTTTGTGTATCTGTGTATTTGATCGTCTACAGAAAATGCAATCTACGGCAATAAGTGACTGGTTGCTGTGCAGATTAATGTGTTTCCCTGATATAATACCTTCAATAGCTACTTATTAATTCGTAAGATGAATCCCTATCTGCTTCAGAAAAAGAAACGTACAAAAGTCACCAGTATATTCAGTGGTCTGCTTGGAGGTCATATTTGTGTTCAGGCAGTTGAGGGAAAACATGAAGATTTTACAGTTGTAACATAATCAGTTCAAATGGAGGTGAAGGACTGCTGAAAAAAAGGCAGAAATAACAGTGTTGTATGACTGGAGAGAGATTTACAAATCTGAAAGTACTTGGATAAATTCTGAACAACAGCATCTATAAATAGTAATAGACACTCAAAAGTCTATTGATTGGACGCTGAAAAGATAGCTTCAGATTCTGCAGAGAGAGTTTGCCTCACCCCTATATGAGCGTTCTGCAGTTCTAAAGAAGCAGTCAAAAGTGATGTGGAAGGATATGTCGGAGCAGGGATCCTATTCGTGCCATTAAATGGAGCAAACCAGGCTGTGACAGTGGTTACCTTACAATGTGTCCCACAGAAATGAGGTTGGGGAGTAAATGAAGGCTAACATGCTTTAAAAAGTGGGTTATGGTCGTTCCCCTTTTCCCCCATGGAAGGTCTGTGCATGTAGCTGCTTTTGAGCAGCAAGAAGTGGAGAGTCTGCGTAAATTCAAAGTTTCGTCATGGTAAGAGCGCTTATCAGTTGTACTTTTAAAAGACATCTAGTGCAGACTAGACAAGGTAGAGCAGGAATTATCTTTGAATGTAAGTACCCAGAGAGAGAGAAGAAACTATCAAAGTTCACAGGTTAGTGTATCCTTGCAAGGATGCTATTTGTAATAATGGTAATCATAAGAAGTACTTTTTTGTTTCCATTATTACTTTTGTAGTATGAAATTTACCCTATTAAGTGCAGTCTATTTGCCCACCCTCTACTGTACTCCTGGGCTGCAATCTTAAGCTTTGTCCACCTACCTTCCCCAGTAGGAGCGAATGCAAGCCTACTGTTGGTTTGTACAGCTGGGAAAAACTTTTCAGAAGGACTAAGCCTCTGCCTTAACTGTGCTTAAACTATAATTCTTGTGCTACCTAGAGTAGCAGTGTTTGGCCTGGCTAACTGAGCCAGTTGTTTAGTTCTTCTCTGTAACAGGATGGCTTGTTTCTTTGGTGGATTATTCCCCCCACCCCTCCTTTGGGATTTGGTTCTGTTTCCCCTTCTGGGTTTCCTTGTTTTGTGTGGTGAGAGAGAATGCCTTATGAATGAAAGGTGTACGGTGGTAAATTCTTCTTTTTCTTTTTTCTTTTTCTTTTTCTTGTTGGTCACTGCAGCATTTATTCCCACCTAGAAAACTAGGAGAAGGACAATAAACTAACAAACAAACAAACAAACAAAAAAAAACAAATGTACACTCCTGTGCAAAAGATAATATTGGTGGTTGCTGGGGTACTAATGATTGAAAGAGCCAGATTAGCCAAGCCCTGCTGGATCCACAGGTGCAATAATTTAGCAATAGAGACCCTGAGACACAGGAAACAGGATCAGGAAATAGAGGAAGTCTAGAGCTCACAGATGGCTTGTGTGTCTGTTATGACTTTGGGCTAAGATGCTTATACGTTTATTTAGAGGTTTGATGTGTGTGTTTGTTTTCTTTCCCTTTTGGGGGAGGACTAAATACATTTATCTTTCTTTACTTCACCCTGACTAGTCTGGAGCACCCTTACTCTTTATGCTGATCCACTTGTTTTCTGATGCCGTCACAGTGTAATAAGATCCCATCTTTGTGCTTTTGTCCGCTTGTTGCGGTTTTTTTAGGCACATGCATACCGAATGATCCCGTAAACAATATGTAGGAGTTTGATCATTTTTTCTGCATTCATTTTTTTAAATTAATTGGTGGTCGTGATGAACTGTAGAGAAATCCCTAAATGTTATGCTGCGTGTTTATCACCCTGGACATATAGCTAGATTTATCAGAGCAACTTGGTAGAACAAACCATTAAAAATTTAGTAGTGCAGCACACAACAAAAACATGAGTTGTATCCTTATTACTTAGTGTAATAAGTGAAGACTGGTAAGAAAACATTCACAAATGGTGTACAGCAGTGGCTCTCAACCTTTCCAGACTACTGTACCCCATTCAGGAATCTGATTTGTCTTGGATACTCCCAGGTTTCACCTCACTTAAAAATTACTTGCTTACAAAAACAGACATAAAAATACAGAATTGTCACAGCACACTATTACTGAAAAATTGCTTACTTTCTAATTTTAACATATAATTATAAAATAAAAAATGGAATATCAATATTGTGCTTACATTTCAGTGTACAGTATATAGGGCTGTATAAACAAGTCATTCTCTCTGAAATTTTAGTTTGTACTGACTTCGCTAGTGCTTTTTCCGTAACCAGTTGTAAAACTAGGTAAATATCTAAATGAGTTGATGTACCCCCTGGAAGACCTCTGACTACCCCCAGGGGTATGCATACCCCTGATTGAGAACCGCTGGTAAACACTGATGACTAGAGGTCTTTATCCCGTAGATTAAGATGAGGGTTTTCAGTTTTATGCTTCAGTATATTGGACTTTTCCAGATCAGTTCCTTGGCCAGAACAGTGACATTGTCAGATATACCATTAATATTCAGTGATGATCCATTTAGATACTGACTTCCTCCCCTGCCTCACTGCACAGTCTGAGCAGTTGATAGCCACTCATGAGTTTATCCTCTCTGAGAGATAGGTATGTGCTACCTATGAGTCTCCCTAGAAAGGAGAATATCTGTTTTCATTCTAAAAACAAAAGTAATTTTTTAATCCCTTTTCCTGTAAAGACAGCCTTGGAAATGTCAATGAGGAAACAGGTCACTGGGGTTGAAAGGGACACATAGCAGGGTCTCCATTTTTTGCTGAAGTAAGCCAGGGAGAATTACAGTTTCTCCCATTCTCCTCCCCTCAACAAAAACGTGTTTTGGCATGCTCGTGCATGGAAGAAGGCTAGGACATGTGGTATGGATTTTAACCAGGCTGCAACTTTCTTAGTCAAATTATATGTAGGGTTCCTGTCGGAGGACAGCCAAGCGCAGTTGTGCACACCAAATTGATCCTTTGCCAATTCTTATACTACTTCCGGGGGAGCAAATCATCACACTGGGGTGGGAGGTTCTCTGGGTGCCTCCACTTGCCTGGTAGCATCCATCCCCATTTTAGGAGTTGAGGTGAGAGGGGACCTCAGCCCCCAGCCAGCACTGCCATGAAGTGCCCCGGCCCCCAGTTCACGCTTCTTTCCAGGGGTTTAGCCACTATGCCCCAGTCTCATAAGAGGATGCCCTTGGGATACCCATTATGTTATCTTTTTGGATCTGGAGCGTAAATCAGTGAGTTTCTGCAGCGGGCACTTGCCAAAAGTTGTGACAACTAAAGGACTCTTATGTAGGTCTAAATTGTGACCTCTGGGAGGGGGAGAATTCTAGTCCTCCAGTTGCCCAATCTCCAACCTCTAGGTTGTGCTGTGAGGGAATGCAGAAAAACACATCCAGGTTTGAGCAAGCTGGTGGCATGGGGAAAAATGCCTTCCCAGCCCCAAAACGGCAACTAGCCCAGCTGACAGTGACTGAGATGAGGGTGAGTTGACTTCTGGAAACCAGAAAACAAGAAGTGGCTCTGAGCACATGGCTCTTATCATGGTTCCAAATCTTGGGCCAAATCCCATGAGGTATTATGGCTTCAAATCACGGGTCAAATCTCATGAGACCTCAAGCCTACCAAGAAGTCCTGTGGGGACTGGAAATCTTGTGGGAAACTGCCCATCCTGTCCTTTTGCCAACAATACACCCCTTACTATCCTTGGGGTGCTCTTCTGCAAAATGATTAATTTAAATATAGGTCGTATGGCAAAGATTCTTCTTCCTCTCCAAAATCCCAAGGCTGACCCTGCCTATAGAGGGGTGATCATGAGTTGATTATGTCCCTGGGAATGGGTAGCAGCAAAATTTTTTTTCTTATGTGCACTGAAAAATGCTAACCCCAGCTCTGGCTGCTGCTGCCCGTGATGTTACTTCTTCTGTGGATAAACAGAAGATGACATTTTCCATGGCTGTCAGTACAGCTCCTTGCACAGCTACTAAATTCACCTTTTAAAAAAAATGGAGGCCAAGACTTCATCATGAGGTGAAGAATGTAAAAAAACAAGTTGCCTATATTGATGTAGGACTGGATAATGAACTATTTATGTTGGAAATTAAAGCTTTGATGTTTCTGAACTTGTTTCAACTGTCTTTTTCATACAATGAACTTCTCAACTTTCTTTTGAATAACCACAGCAAGACCAGCTTTATACTTGGGCTGCAGTTAGCCAACCCACACATTCATTGGATTACATCGAAGGGAGGCTTCCAAGGAGAATTCCATCCGTGTGGCCACCACCCAAGCCTCCCGACGAGGAGCAAAAACTCAAACATATGGAAGCAGGTATGGATGGCTTGGAGACACAAACAGGATCCAACACTTCCCATTGATTTCAGAGGGAGCTGTTGTGTGTTATTTTCAGCATTATTGAAAATCAGAGCCCTTATTTAGGTGCCTAAATATGGACTTTGGAGCCTAATGTCTGCACCTGTTTCTAAAGATCCTGTATGCAAGGTAGAAGGTAACTTGCATGAATTTGACTGAAATATTTTGTGAAAGTATGTATTGATTTGTTAAACACTAAGGTGTACACTGACTATGTTATACATACAGCAAACAATAATGCACTTTGCCATGCTTCGTCCTTTGTTCTTTTGCAGTTTACAGCTTCTCATAGCGATGATGTGGATCAATCTTCCTTTCTGCTGGATATGGACTCCCTTTGAAACCTATCAGTGCTATTTTTAGGTTATTAGAGTGGCAAAAGGCACATGCTGTCTTACATATGTGCTCAGCACAACCCCTGTGTTGGCAAAGGGAACAAGGAAATGGATATAAGAAACAAATGTGGGGGACTTGTTTTAGTTTGGTGCATTTCAGAAGTTGTTGAGTTACTTCACCAGTCTGTTTACTTTTTTATTATCTTGTCTGAGGGAATTCATTATTCTTTCTAATTGTCTAACAGCATTTGTTTAAATGAATAATGAACAATCTCTTGTTTTGTAGGCTAGAAAAAACTAGATTACCACTGAAAAGAATTTCAGGTCTGCTTTTGGTTAGAAGTCTTGACGACAGACAAATATCAGAGGTTCAGGGAGGCTTAGTTTTGAATTAGCATTCAAGAGCTCTCTACATTTTGAGGCTACATTCATCCCTATGGCCTATATGGCAAGCCACTCACTATTTACAACTCTTCCTTTTCCCACCACTCCTTCTGCCTTTCCTCAGCAAATAAGGAATTTGTCATTATTTCAACAGATTTCCTAGCACTGCTGCTAGGCTCTGGGGGTGGTTGATATCAAACTTGCCTCACTCTGGGCCTTTCTAAGAATGGTCTGAGAATTAGGCTGTGTCTACACTAGGAGTGTTCTGCCGGTACAGGAATATCTGTATACTCTACTGGCAAAGCACTTCTAGTGTGGATGTAGCTTATACTGGAAAAACTACATTTTTTGCTGACATCATTTATTCCATCCTTACTCCGCCCTGAGTAAAATAAGCGACACCAGCAAAAATGCAGTTTTGCCAGTATAACTGTGTCTACACCAGGGGTTTTTGCCAGTACTGGTTTGTTAGTCAAGAATCACACCTTATCACATCCCTGACTGACATAGTTGTGGTACGAGGAGTGTGTAGTGTAGATATGCCTGAAGTTTTGTGTGTTGTAGTGTTGGAGACTAGAAAATAGTGGTGCCAGGGACTGTTCTAATTATAGGCAAACTAGGCATCTGCCTAAGGCGACAGGGCCAAACCTGAGTGGTGCTGAGACCCCACTGGGTCGGGTTGCAATGCCGTTCACTCAAATTTGGCTTAGCGACCCCTCATCATGACAGAGGTATGGCTGGGCTAAACCTGAGTGAGTGACCTGGCACTTGCGCTCCCCCACCCCCTTCTATCATGACCACCAAACAATCAGAAAGCTCACCACGCCTTCCCAGAAAGTCCCCCTCGGGGAGTGCACCCTCTGGATGAGCACCTTTGCTCTGTTATAGGAAGGGGAAGGCACTGAAGATGTGCCGATGGTGGCAAATTGTCTTGAGGGGCCACTGGGTGGTGTCGAGGCCTCAGCAAAGGTGCTGCTAGACCTGGTAGCTGAACTCAGTTCCTGTAAGGGTCAGAACCTTGTGCCTGTTGACACAAATGGAGATTTGGCTGGTGTGTGTGTGTGACTGTATCCAAAGCCTCTTTGGAGTTAAAAAGCAAAAGAACTGAGGTTACAATATAAACACTGCATTGTCCCTTAATTTACTTCCAAAATGTCCACTGCAGTATAAGCAATCTAGTGATATAGTTTACAAGTAAACAAAACCTGCCTTCCTGACATAGCCAAAACTTTGAAGCCTTGAGTATCAGATTTTTTTGCTTTACTAATCCAGATTATGTATATTCTCACAAAAATAAGTCAGCCTCAATTCTCTTAATTTCAGTTACTTAAAAAAGTCCCCTCTTCCACTCCCCCCCCACTATATAGCATTCTGTTTATTGAGCTTTAAATCTTTCTTTATTTAAATTGCTTTAACAAGAACTCTGGTGGACACGGTAACTGAGGTTAGCAGAGATTTATCACAACTAAGTATTATACTGGTTATCCAAGGAAAAACAGTGACTTTGGTTAAATCAGAATACTTAGAAGTATAAGAATTTTGAAGATCTATTAATTTGGAATACCAGCAAAACAGAACAAAAAGCAGTTTAGTTTAATTTAAGAATACTGCTTGCTTAGATTCTGTATTTTTCCACTTCCTTTTTGAAAATTCTGTTTATTTGCCTAAAAAAGATTAATTTAATTAATTTGCTTCTGCGTTTGCTCCTACCCATAGACTCTCAAACCCTTTTTTTGGAAAGTTTATTCAAACTGTTAGCACCTTTAAAAAAGAGTTTAAACATTTCTGTCTAAATGGCTTTAATTTGTTTGCTAATCAGAAAAAAAATGAGGGAGTTTGGTTATTGTTGTAATTAATGTCCAATGGAAGTAATTTCTGCACATAAAATGTAATATTTTTTACATGCCTACTTTGTAGAGGACAGTGAAGGTGAGTAATGTTAAGTGAATAATGAAGTCTTAAAAATGAGTCTACCTGAGATTTGTACCAAAATTGCATATATAAGAGGTGCATGTGACTTCTGAAGCCAGAGGGGGAACACCTTCTTAAATGCTGATCTTAAAATCTAAAAGAAGAGGCCTGCAGTTTGCTTTGAAAGTCAAATGACTTGGACTTTCTCAGACCAGTGGGAGAAGCTATTGAGAATGTCCGGACTCCAGCAAACCTAAGAACATTAACCTTCGCTCATTAGTTCAGATCTACACTACAATTAAAAACCCAAGCCAGCCTGTGCTAGCTGACTCAGGCTTGCGGTGCTCAGGCTAAGGGGTGAGTCCTAGAGCCTGGGTTCCAGCCTGAGCCTGAATATCTACGACACCTCAATTAAACAGGCCCTTAGCCTGAGCCCAAATCAGCTGGCACAGTCCAGCAGCAGCAGTCTAATTGTAATTTAGACATACTGCTAGATAACAGGGTAGTGCATAGGTTAAAGACCAGCCAGAATCCAAGTGCTGTTGATAACTTAGCAGAAAAATGTTTTGTGGTTGAAAACTCTTATGCTACATACATGGACTGAAACATAGTGTGTGCCATTGGTAAGTGCTGGTACTATGAGTATGTTTAAAAATATGGAAAACAAAGAGAAATATAAAGCAACATAGAATTAGCACCTCAGCAGGGTTTATAGCATCACATTATGAAATTTTTAACAAATTTGAAGGAATAGTGGCTAATGCAATGCAAATTATAAATAAAATTCTAGATCAGTTTAAGGAGAAATGCATAGGAGAGTCAGGAAATGTATGTTTACTCCTTTTGTGTTGGGGAAACCCCCAGAAGAAATTATAATAAAGGTACTGATATATGTTTATAATTTATTTTTTAAAAGTGCATCTATAATTTAATGTAGGATGGTAGGAACATCTGCATCCTTGGAAAATGGTCACAATAGTTTTCAAGAGCAGATGAAAAAGGGCATTTCTGGTCAAGCAGGGATTCACAAATATCCTTAGCTTGCAAACCTCATTGCTGAAGCATGGTTAATAATGGGGCAGACTTGATACTTCCCTATCCCCAAACAAGCAGTAACATCATCTTCATCTAATCTGGATCTGTACTTAACCAGGCACTGGGGAAATGCACAGATCTAACTGATGAAAGAGACTTAAAGCTGTGTTTTATAAGCATAACATTGGATCTTCAGCACCTGCTGTCTCATTATCTCCCCTGGCAGCCTCAGGAGGTATGACAGAAGAAAACTTTGTGAAACATCATGAGAATACAAGAGAGAACCCTAGGGGTAGATGATATGAGTTACCAAATACCACCTTCTGGGGTCTCTCTTAAGATCAAAGAGTAGAACCTGCTCTGCCAGGGTCTGTAGTTAGGTCAACAAAACCCCATGGTCACTGTTATCAAAGGCTGCAGATAGCTCTAAAAAATGGCCATGCTTATTTTGTCCATCACTAGAAGGAGATCAGCCAACAGCATAACCTTTTGTCGGATTCCATGCTCATTATTTTAGTCTGTACCGTATTAAAATCTGAAAGTAGATTCAAAGGCCACAAGGAAATCTGAAAATTCTAGGTTTTGTGGTGTTCCTTTGCCATCACCACCTAAATGAGCTTTCACAAAAAAACAAAACAAAAACACAAAACCAACCAAACAAAAAACTAATAGGGAAAACTATAGAGGACTATATTGTATAAAGAGATTGTCATGAGAGTTTTTTGAGCAAAGGCCTGACAGCTGCTTGTTCCTGACATACTGGCACTCTGCCCTCTACAATTTCTACCAAAAAAAGCCAATGCCTTTCTGCTTGTTTTTTTTCCCCCTGGTCATTATAGACATGTGTTCAAGTCACAGTTAGCGTCCTAAAGTTCCTCTAGTTCTCCTCCAATGAGTGGAGCTGGCTAAAAGTCAATTTTGGCATAATATGGCATTTGCTTCCTCCAGTCCCAGAAACATACTGATTTATATGGTGAATCCAGTCACTATTTGGAGTGATGTTATACACACTCAAATTGTCCAAGTGAGAGACATTTCAACAGTATCTTAGATTAACCATATTTTGCACCACAGCAGTTCCATTAGATTTAATGCTACTGTGGAGAAGAATGCCATGGCTCTTGAAGGGAAAGAAGCTTCAGATTTTAAGTACTTACCTGGTAGCCTTGAAACATAACCACCACTGGTACTGTAGCTTGTGAATTGTCATGGTGGTGTATGAGGAGAGCATGTCTTGGAGCTAGCATACTGATGGTCATAGCCCACAGGTGGGTTCACTGTTCAGTGCTGCTCCTGAGAGATGTCAAAATGATTTGTTTCCTCCATTCTTTATGCACAGATCAAAGATATAGTTTGGTTGCCTTGCTGGGAGCAAAGTGGAACCTGACTGACTAAATTGTTGAGTATACTTTGACTATTCATAGCACCATGTCACAATATTTTACAGATATAAATGAGCAAACCCTGACCACACCCCTGCCAAGTAGGCAGATATTAGCATATCATGATGGGAAACTGAGGTTGTTGTATGGGGAGGTTGCTTAAGGTCAAACACGAAGTCTGGAAAGTGGAAAATGCAAGCCAGAGCTCTTGACTCACAATCCTGTACTTTAACCACAAGAGCATTTGTCATCAACAATTAAATAAAAATAGAAAATCTTCATTATTCTCTCCAAAGATTCAGCAAATTGCTTTCAAGTACAGTATGTGCACTGGTTGCTGCATGTATCCATCCTTGCCAGCACAATCTGTAATTTCTTTTATCCAGCATGCAATCAGATACTGCGCCGTATAAACAAAGCTGGAATGTACAGTATGTGTTTCTGACTGAAACAAATGATATTACCAGAATCAAAGTTTTCACTTAACTTTTTTGACTTGACCAACAGTCACTATTTTAAGTTTGACTTAAATGTTTTTATTAAAAGGCAGCTCTTGAAAAGCTAATGATCAATGATTACCCTGTCTTTAAAATAAGAAAGAGAATCTACTTCTTACTAGCATAATATTTTAATGTTCATTTGCCAGGGAAAAGAAACAGAAATGTTCTTAATTTCTCTGATATTTTCTTTCAGTGCCACAGTGATGACTGTTGGTGAGCAGTGGTTCTATTTAAAGCTATATTACATTGGAACAAAATGACTCTTTGCTTTAAAGGCATAGATTAGCAAAGCAGTGCTCGTAATTGTTCCCATTGGGTTTTCTCCTGATTCTTAGTGCAGAAACCATGACAGTGGCTACTGCTAGATATGAAAACTGATTACTGCTTTAACTTTTCAGTTTGGCAGGTAGCACATGGCATTACACTTCTGAAACTTTTTTTTTTATTGCAAATTTCCTACAGTGGTGTTGGATGGTGAATTAATTCTGGGATGGGAGGACAGGTTCTTTGTCCAGAGGGAACTCAATCCAATCCATTCTCCAATGTCCGGGTTTTAGGGGGAAATCCTGGGTGTGGAGGTCCCCCTGGTTCGGTGCAGTTCAGGTCAACCACTTTCACAGCGCTGTTCTCTCCCCTGTACAAGACCCTGCAGAGCCACTAGGGATGGGGAAACCTGCGGGCAGGGATGGAGTGAAGGTTCCATTATATTTCTCTCCACTGTCAAAAGCCCCATGGTAAAGGGGGGTGGGAATTTAATGTAGTATCAGGTCACATTAACCTTTAACTTTTCCATGCTGCCCCAATACTTAGGACCCACCTTTTAAAAGGGGGCTTCCAAGATGATATTGTATGAAGGAAGCCTGAAAGTGAGAGTGAATGTGTGGGGGAGACTTTTGGGGCGGGGTGTTGAGAGGCGTGGCAGAGGTCACCAAAAAACACAAGTTTTCTGTATGTGTGGGATTTCCCTGGTCTCCTGTGATCACCTAGGATCTATAGAGTTTGAGGAGAGTTGCTGGCTATTCCACAGGTGGCTAGACCAACCTCTTAATGGGATAATATGTTAAAACAAGGTGTGGGGGCTTTCCAGGGAGTTTTATTCATCCTAAGCTTCCTGGGGGGTATTCTATGGGAGGGTTGTCTATGCTCTCGGTAAATATTTCTGACAAAGGGAAAGATAAATTTTTGATGATGACAGTGAAGTTTATTTATAAACCATTTAAGATGATACCCTTTAACTAATGGTGGGGCTTAGTGAATGCTATACAGCCTGAAAGAGGAAGACTGTGATTATGTATAAAAACTATTGAATTCATTTAAAAATAAAAACAATTCTTATTTTTTGAAAAAATCCACCCCACTATGGTCCCTTTAACTTGTATTCTGAAAGATTAAGCACCATCTACACTCAAAGTGCAGTGGCAGTCAAAAAAGCTAATGATGTTGGGAATCATTAGGAAAGGGATAGAAAATAAGACATAAAATATATTGCCTCTATATAAATCCATGGTATGCCCACATCTTGAATACTGTGTGCAGATATGGTCACCCCACCTCAAAAAAGATGTATTGGAATTGGAAAAGGTAATAGAAAATTATTAGGGGTATGGAACAGCTTCCATCTGAGGAGAGATTAATACGGCTGGGACTTTTCAACTTGGAAAAGAGACAACTGGGGGGGGGGGGGGATATGATAGAGGTCTATAAATTCATAATTGGTGTGGGTGAGATTTTGTGGCCTGCGTTGTGCAGGGGGTTGGACTGGATGATCATAGTGGTCCCTTCTTACCTTGGTATCTATGAATCTATGAGAAAGTAAATAAGGAGGTGTTGTTTACTCCTTCTCATAACACGTGAACTAGGGGTCACCAAATGAAATTAATAGGCAGCAGATTTAAAACAAACAAAAGGAAGTATTTCTTCACACAGTGCACAGTCAACCTGTGGAACTCCTTGCCAGAGGATGTTGTGAAGGCCAAGACTATAACAAGGTTCAAAAAAGAACTTGATAAATTCATGGAGAATATGTCCATCAGTGGTTATTAGCCAGGATGGGCGGGGATGGTGTTCCTAGCCTCTGTTTGCCAGAAGCTGGGAATGGGTGAAAGGGGATGGATTACTTGATGATTACCTGTCCTTCTGTTCATTCCCTCTGGGGCATTGGCCACTGTCAGAAGATGGGCTAGATGGGCCTTTGGTCTGACCCAGTATGGCCATTCTTATGTTATGTTCATGTTGAATGAAACTTCTCTTGAAAATGTTCTGAATCTGTATTTTCTTTTCAATCCAGAGTTTGAAGCAACTATCTTGGAAACACAGAAACAATACATAGAGGATGTTCAGCGGGTACAGGTAAGACCTTGGCTGGAGATGTAACCAGTATGTGTTACACTTCTTTTGTAATATGATTTGGAAGCTAATGTGTTAGCCCCTTTGGAAGTAATTCTCATGTTTCTGTAGCCTGAATAGGTGGTGCAAATCTTTAGAAATGTGTTTTTTCTTTCTAAATTTGTTGTTTCAAAATATTGATACATAGTCCAGATTGTATATTTACATGAAGAGACTCTTGGCTATCTACTGACTGCAAATGATCCCTTTGATAGGTAGTTTCTATGGGCCTGTGTTACTGACCTATGATATGCAGGAGGTCAGACTAGATTATCACAATGGTTCTTGCTGGCCTTAGAATTGATTAATCTGTACCTGTGTGGCTTTTCCTCAGATGAACAGTACCCAGTGCACAATAACCATTTAGAAAATACTATTTCCTTGCAGGCTCCTCGGTCAGTGACTCTCCTGAATTCATGTTGTAGTCAGATGGCATGTGCAAAACTCAGCAGTGTGAATGGTTCATCATCATGTCATTATTTGTTTGAAGCTCTGGCTTTGCCCCTTGAGAATGTTAGTTTAAAACAAAATCCATTAAGTGGCAGTTTATGACCATAATGGAGAAATTCAATGGTGGTTTTTGATGAAAACCTTGAGAATAGAAGTCAAATACATATGTTGGCTTTTTGACTGGGTGAATGAAGCTGAAGATATAAACTGTCCCTCAGGGTTAACATTGACAAAGGTCAACTTCACAGCACAGTAGCTCATAGGCTAAGTTTATAATAATGATGTGCAATTTTGGATGCTCACCTTGAGACATGTTAAAGAGACCTTATGAGGTTAGGTGCCCAGCACTTTCTGAAATCAGAAGGTATGTATTGAGTTTGGGTACCAAAAACTGAGGCACCCAAAATCACACTAAGTCCAGATTTTCAAAGGTAACTTTAATGTTCATCCTAACAGAAGACTGCATGAAAAATAGTGAAGATATTATTTCACTATAAAACAAATATATGGGGTGAAACAAGGAGGGAGGGGGAGAGGAGAAGAGGGGCAAGGGAGTGTGACAGTGTGAGAGACTAAAGACCAGAAACTCAATCACTGACTCCACCCTCCAGCTTGGAGAATTTCATTTTTTTGTTTGAAGGCTATTGCATGATTTTCCAGGAATATATGAATAAATGTTTATATTCTTAAATGCATGAGGAATTTTAGTGGGAAGCAGCAGACTTTTTGTTCCACTTCTTTTGTCTCTACTCTGCCAAACTCCCATTATTACTTTTAAACGTATACCTCATCTTCCTCCTATTCCTCGTCTCCCCATCCTAAATTGGTTCTTAGCATTCACGTTTGTGAAAGTGTCACCTTTGTTTCAGTTACTACATGGAAAAGCAATGGGTCATAGGTTTAATTTAGCATGTTAGGGCAGTAGTCAAAGTTTTGGTTAAATATTTAATCTACCAAGACTCAATTACTCCTGGGAGAATTCTGCACCACTGTGCATGCACAGAATTTATTTCCCCCCACAGACTTCTTTGCTTCTCTGAAGAAAAATGATTTTCTGATGGGGAAGCAAGGGGAAGTCACAAGAGCGGTCATGAAACCCCCCCCAACAGTATGTTTTGGGGGTCCGGGGCAGCTGGCAAAGAGGTAAATTATGGTGGAGCGGGGGGGTGGGACTGGGGAAGACCCAGCTCCATACCCTGCACTGCGCTCAGCTGCTAGTCCTGGCTGGGCTGGGGGGGGTGGGACTTCCTCTTTCCCTGCACGGCAGCCAGGGCCATGTCAGACCCTCCCTCATATTTCTCCCAGAGCTGCAGGAAGCTCCGCAAACTCCCCCGTCCCCTCGTCCCCCCACTTCCTGCACCCATCACTCCTCAGCTGCAGGGTGAGAGATCCTTGTACAGGGAGCTGCTGCCCTATCCACCCAATCCCTGTGCATCCAGAACCCCTCATACCCAGACTCTTCCACTGATCCCCACCCCCCACATTCAGAACCCCCCCCACAATGAGTCCCACTCCCCCTGCACCACCACAAGACACCCACACCCAGATCCCACCCCACTGAGCCCCATTCCCCCAGCATCTGGATCCCTCTGAGTCCCCTACATCCAGACCTCTCTGCTCCCATCCAGACCCCCCCCCAAGTGCCAACCAGCTTCACCTAGACCCCCTGCATTACTGTTGCACCCATAACCCTGAAACTATCCCCTGTGCATCCAGATCCGCCACTGAGCCGTCCGCACCTAGATTGCCCCACACAGAACCCTCTCAACCCACACCTGGACACCCTCCCCCCCCGGCCTTTAAGCCCTTCCACATTTGGATCCTGCCTTGCTGAGCCAGCCTGCACACACCTCGTGCATCTGGCATGGCGGGGGGGGTGTTTCTGGGGCAGGCCCAGGACTTATGCTGTGTCAGGGTTGAGTGCAACCTCACCACTGAGTCTGTGTCTGGGGTGAGGGGAGCTTCACAGTGACCTCCCACCTCTGTGCAGCCAATGGCCTGTGCTCCCCAATGCCATGCTGGAGCCTCCACATTTATTTGGCAAATAAAATTTGCAGAATTTTTAATTTTTTGGCACAAAATGCCCTCAGGAGTATCAAATGTATGGTACAGTGGATGGGATTTTCAAAAGCACTCTGCAATGGCTTAACTCAAATACCATTGAAGGCAATGGTATTTTAACCACTGATTTTCAAAGTAAGCGGAGTTAGTCCAGTGCAGCGTGTATCAGGATCTATAGGAAACATTAGAACACAAGGAATTCAAGAAATTGTGTATGGATGGCAGTTGATCAGCATAAGTAAACCTGGAACCTTCAGTTAATGATTCAGCATTGGTGATGCATTCTGTAATAAATTATAGTGAGGATATGAAGTGAGCTAACTTGGGGCGTGTAAAAGGGTGGGCTTGCCCGCAGCAGCTCCTGCTGGTAACGCGTTGCTCTATGGTGCCCTGTCTCAATTTCCCCTTCACAAGTTCCCGGGAATAATCCACAGAGGTTTATGTCAGTAACTCCTCTTCTTGGGAACTGGTTTATTAACATAAAATAAACCCAAAGTACAGTCTCCTCCATCCCAGTCTCCCAAGCTTCTCAAAATAGTCTCTTCCTAAACAGCTCCTCCTTCCTGAGATCTGTACGCCTCCAAGCCTTGATGCTAGGCACAGTTATCAGCAGATTCAGTCTCTCCCCTTGAGCTCAGGGGGGTTGCACAGGCCCCTTTCTTGGACCTGAGTATGTTGAATTCTCAGATCACTCTGTCACAGTTCTGGACAGCTGCACCTGTGTTGCCTCCTTGTGGTCCAGCAAAGGCACGCATCTAGGCTCCTGGCTCCTCCTGGCTGTCACCTCTCTTGAGCAGAGAGACACATCTCTCTCCCTTCTGACCGGGTTTTTTCTGGGCTTCATAATTCCCTGCCAACACTGTGAGTTCCCCAGCAAGTCAGACTGCCTTAGCAGGCCTGCTTTGCTTTATCTCCAGAAGCTATTACCAGCGTAATTGCCCACAGTTAAGTTACCACACTGCCCATTCTATGCAAACATTTATTATTAAGGTGAAAATATTAGAGAAAACCTATTAAAACAACCTACATGCATGCTAATAATCTTACCAGAGACCACCCCTAATTCCAAAGGCTCTGGCACATGAACAGTCCTTCAAACACCATCAAGAAATTTTTCTGTGGTTGTACGTTCATAACTGCCTTAGCTCATAACAAGCACATGCATGAATCTGAGAGTCACTCCTTTATACAGCTGGGGCCTCTGATCTTGTCCTCATGTAACAAGTTATCAGCAGACAAAGGTCCCCTCAGGGCAAAGCTTCAAAAGGCTGGAATCTTTGCCCTAGAGATTGCCTGGGAAATCCACTTAACTTTTATTCCAGAAGTCCATCCTTGAGTGGTACATTGCTTTAGGTAATACTTTGAAGCCCGTAACACTTCCCAGGGATTACATTGATCATGTCTGCCCGCTGGAGATGTTACATACAGTCCCACAATAATACATAAACATTTGCATTTTAATTCAAAACACTCCTAAGATACTTAAACTTCATTCAATAAGGTTAGGCCAGAAGACTGACTAAATTACACTATATGGAGAGTCATGAATAAAAGAGCATGAATCTTTGGGAGGATTGGTGAGGAAGAAAACTGGTTTGGAACAGGGAGTGGGCAAAGTTTCAAGTCTTTTTTTTTTTTTTTTAATAACTATTTGGTTCAACCATCTCTGCTAAAAATGAACTGGTATATTTTGATAAAGAAAGGATATTTATGAAGAATATTGGTATACCAGAAGAAACAACTGAATGATGAAACACTAGAATGTATCTATTTAAATGTTGTTCACTTTCCATAATTAAGATTTGAATTATAGAAGCTATGAATGGAATGAGTTGTAATACAGCTACAGGGTGGAATGGTGGTAAAATATCTTAGTCTCAGGTAACCTTTATTCTTACTTCAAGTCATGCACATTTTAATAGATTATTTTCCCCACATCTTCTGAAAGGCAATTATTGTTCTCAATCCCAATAAATCATTAGAAAATTATTCCAATTATAGGCTGTATTTGATTTGTACCTACAGCTGAATCTGTTTTTCAAGAAACATTTAACCAAAAAAAAAAAAGTCCAAAACCTGTTGGAAAATTTACTCATTATCCCTTATTTTAGTTATCCTACCACTTGATCCACTTGTCATTAAAATGAAGCACAACAAAAAGAACTAAGGAACTTTACTGTACCAAAGAATTCCGGTTTAATGGAGATGTGCTTGTGTTTTGTTACTAATAGAAAAGTAAAGAACCAGTTTACTGCAATTAGACCATTAGGAATTGTCGGAAACAAGAAACAATCATGGTGGATTGTTACATTTACTGTGGAAAATGTGGTATTCTGTAGCTTTTGGAATGTGACTTCAAATATTTCCCCAACTCTTCTGTTCAGAAATAAATCTAAAAGAAACTGGCTAATTAAATGCTGATGGTCAGAAAACTGCTGTAGTATGAATAGAAC